TCATTCAGTTTTAACTGAACTGGGTCAGTGGACTGGGTGAATGATTTTAAGGATTTCTTTCATACTAATGTTTTAAGGATATGCCTAATTCATGAAGTACATTATGTCAGAAATAGTACATTATGTCTATATATGCTGATAAGGACGGATAATACGGATAGAGCCTATTTTTAGGGCTTTATTCATACTGTGAAAAATTGCATCTTTCAAATAGTTGCAAATGTAAGTTATTATTTTGTTTATATTTTATTTTTGTCTTTGAATAATGCGTGCTGAATTTCATTTTTGACATATTTGTAACTGTGCGATTTTTTAGTAGTTAGGTTCTAGCAACAGTAAAATATTGCCAAGTCTGTTCTATTTTTTTTTATTATTATTTTAAGAGTAATTTATGCTGGGTTTTTGAGATACAAGAAGAAAAGGCATCTTTTCTCGATATTTAAAGATGCACATATTGAGTTTTAATGTGCTTACGTGTAATAAATGTGTTTTATTAAAAGTTTTAATGAATCCCTATTGACTTTGGAGTATTTTTGAGAAGCAATTATTTGTCAACTGGCGTCCGCAAGAAAGAATTAGAACTGCAACTAAAAGTAAACATTTTGTTTTCATTATTTTAAGTATTTTCATTATTTCATTATTTTAAGTATTTATATTTGTTTTCATTATTTTTAAGTATGGAATCATTAAAACTAGCACGTAAGCAACATCGTAGAATATTTTCTAAATCATGTAATGAATTTAATCAAAGAGAAAATAATTTAAATGACGAAGAGAAAAAATTAGAATTAAGGGTTATTCAAAAGAAATCAAAATTAATTATTTCAGCTGAAAACGATTTTAAGCAAGAGCTATTTAAACAAGTTGTAGATGAAAAAATTATCGAAAAAAGAGGTTTATGAGTCAGAATCATATTTAGATAGATGGAGAAAGTTAGAATATAAGATGAATAAATTATTGCAAGTGCCAGAACAGGAAACTTCTGGTTTATATATAGGATGGGCGTCAATTTCGCAAATTCCTAATACAATGCTACATTATCCCAAGATAAAATTACCAACATTTAATGGTGATTTAAAAAATTGGCTTAATTTTTAGGACAATTTAAGAAAATTGATAAAGACCCTAATATTGATAATGAAGATAAATTTACATATTTATCGCAGGCCATGCAACCAGGCTCTGTTACAGAAGATTTAATTAAAAGTTTCCCTCCATTCGGTGAAAGTTATGAGAAAACTGTAAAACATTCGCGTTTTGGAAAGGATGAACTGTTAATTCAAGTTTATGTAAGAGATTTATTGGCTTTAATACTTCAGAAGAAAAACACACCAGGGTGGCCTTTAAGAAAACTTTATGACCAGTTGGAATCTAAGCTTCGTGCTTCGGAAGTTCTAGGGGTTACTAGAGATAAATATGCAGCCATGCTTTTTCCTCTTGTTGAATCTTGTTTGCCTGATGAGACACTTAGAACATGGGAACGTTACCGAGCAATTAATCGTAGATCTAGAGATTTAAATTCACAATCCGGGGAAAATTCTGAGCAGTCAAAAATAATCGAGAAAAGTGATCTAGATTGTTTACTTGAATTTCTTCAAGATGAAGTAGAATCAATCGGAAGAGCGAATATCTCTAGCTTCCCATACAGTTGATCAAAAGAAGCCAGGAAAATATGATAACACATGCAGTGTAATAATAACTTTTGAAAATAAAATCAGGACTATTAAATCGAAATTTGGCAATCCATTGCCTGTGCCTAGTACTTCCGAACTGTTTACATCAACCCAAGGGCAAAAATTGTACACATTTTGTTCAAATCCTCCTAATTCATGGGATTGCAGAAATGCAAAAAATATACCTCTAAATGAGAGGAAAACTATTGTTGGGAAATCGCGTTGCTGCTTTCTCTGTCTGAGACATGGACATCGAGTAAATGAAATGTAATGAGAAATCGAGTTGCGTACTATGTGGTAAAAGATATCATGTACTTCTATGCAGAAATATACAGTAAGTGCACAACATTCTAATAAAAAGAAATAAAAAGGAAACTGAGTATATTAAAACTTATTTAGAGTGAGATCAGGTATTTACCAATGTATCAAGTGCACCTAATGTTATGTTACAAACATTAACTGTGATTTTAAGATGCAAATAGTAAAAAGCGTAAAGCTCGAGCCATTATTGATTCTGCTTCTCAGAGGTCTTACATTTTGAGTAAAATAGCTAAAGAGATGGGGCATAAAGCCTTAAGAAATGAATACCTTAAGCACTCACTGTTCGGAGGAAGTAACACTAAAGTGTATAAATATGATATATTTATCAAATATGAAGTGTACATATAATTGTCATTTCGAAGCACTAAGCCAATTTGTAATATGTGATACCTTGCTACCAGTAGCATCGGAATTGTGTCTAAAAGAACTTGCAGACTTAGGCATTTGTCCTGATGATCAGTGGGCCAATTGAAATTTTAATTGGAGATGACATATCGGACAAGATGATGACTGATGGTTATAAACTTCTACGCAGTGGTCTTGCAGCCATTGAAACAAAACTAGGGTAGACGATTTATAGGTCGCATCTCAGCAGCGTCGTCCAGTGAGAATACAACTTTAATTTCAATGTTAAATAAAAATGCTTGTAACACAGATTTTTGGACATTAGATAGTTTAGGTATCAGAGACCCATCAGAAAGCAAAACAGAATTCAAACTTGAGGAATATGCTAAGTCTCATTTTTTAAATACCGTGAAAATCGAGAACGAACGTTTTATGGTAAGTCTACCATGGATTGAAGGTCACCGTCTACTTCCAGACAACTATGACTTTCTCAAAGATTGAATTCTACATTGAAGAAATTAAAAGCTGATGGCTTATATGAAGACTACGGAAATATATTTCAGGATTGGTTGAAAAAAGGTATCATTGAAGAAGTACCATTGAATGAAAAAGATGTTCCTTGTCATTATCTGCCTCACATACATATTGTTAAAGAAAACAGCACGACACGAATCCGACCAGTATTTGATGCTTCATCAAGGAAAAAGGGGGTCACCCAGTCTAAATGAATGTTTAGACAAGGGCACAAACCTCATAGAACAGATTCCTTCCATTTTTACTAGATTTCGTTTACACAAGATAGGTGTCGTTGCAGATATTCGAAAGCCTTTATCCAAATGATAGAAATTTCCTAAGATTCCTGTGGGTAAATAGCAACAATGAATTAAAAATTTATCGTCATTGCAGAATTGCGTTCGGAGTTTGAAGTAGTCCCTTCTTTCTTGGAGCTGTTTCTCAGCATCATTTACAGACAGTTTTAAACCAATGCTAGAAGCACAGTCCATTTATCCAAAAAAAATTACATAGAAACTTATTAGTAGTTTCTACGTTGCCAATTGTGTCACGAGTGGGAAATATGAATCTGAATTGCAAACTTTCATAACAGTGGCTTCAGCAGTAATGGCATAAAGACAGTTTGATTTGAGAGGATCGGAAAATACAGATTTTTCAAGAGTTTCTCTTACCTCTACAAATGTTCTTGGATTAATATGGAACAAAATGAGAGATATCCTCCAAGTGAATACATCCAGTTTCGAGAATCTGTATACTGAGAAAATAACGAAAAGAACTATTCTCCCTGCTGCTCACAGAATTTTCTATCCTTTGGGGATTGCTTGTCCAATAACCTTAATTCCCAAACTTCTTTTGCAACATTTATGCAAACTAAACATCAGCTGGAATCAGGAAGTATATGCAGATACAAAGAGAGAATTTTTGAAATGGATAAAATATGTATCTTTTTTGTCTAAAGGTTCAAAATCGATCAATTTTGGGAAAGTAAATGATAAGCATTCTTTACATATGTTTGTGATGCAAGTCAATTTGCATATGCGACAGCAGTCTTTCTTCGTGTTAAAAAAGAAAATTCAGTGTACCTTCAACTTATACAGTCTAGAGTTCTTGGTACTACTATCGCTGCACGACCTTTGTCAAGTATTCTAAAAGATCTTTCAGTTAAAAAAGTTTTCTATTGGACTGACTCAACGAATGCGCTCGCTTGGCTAAGAAGATTCGTGGGGCTATTTTCGTCCATAATGGTGTAAAAGAGATATTTGACATCTAAAGAAACCTGGAGATATGTTCCCGGTAAAATGAATCCAGCAGATCTTCCTAGCAGAGGTTGCTCTGCACAACATTTTTCGTCTTTGAAATGGTGGGAGGGTCCTTCGTGGCTCTATCTACCTGATGAAATGTGGCCTGTCATTGAAGATATTACATGTGAAGAGAAAGTAAACAGAAAACGAATGAAAAAAATCGTATCCTCTATGTTGACAGCTGGAGTGAGCACTTTGCTAAATTTTCGTCTTGTGAATTATAAAAAAGCAGTAAATATCATGGGTCGGATAAGGAGATTTGTCTACAATTGTCGACAAAAGCAAGAAAAGAAAAGAGAGAATCCTAGTGTATCTGATATCGATGAAGCAGAGAAAACAATAATTTATTTAATACAACAAGAATCCTTCGTGGGTTAAGAGATAAACGATTGCAATCTTTGGACACATGCCTTGATAATGGAATATACGACTGAAATCAGCTGTACTCAGAAGAGATGATCATGAAGAATTTAAAACGCCACCAATTTTACCAGGAGAACATCCACTTGTGAAATGTTTGATGTTAGAATAACACCGGAGAAATGGGCATGCTGGTATCTCATACACTTTAAATTCTTTAAGAGAGAAATACTGACTTCTCTGCGGAAGGACAACCTTTAAACGTGTATTGAGATCTTGCATTATTTGCAAGCGATTTTCAGCTAAAGGTAATACTCATCCTCCCACTGCGCCACCATCAGCAGATAGAGTTTAAGACGCTGCTGCATTTCAGATAACAGGAGTGGACTTTACTGGCCCAGTGATTCTAAGAGATAACTCAAGAGCTTAGATTGCTCTTTTCACCTGTGAGGTGTATCGTGCCGTCCACCTCGAATTAGTAACATCCATGTCAACGAAGACATTTCTACTAGCTTTTCATCGTTTTGTTGCTCTTAGAGGGAAACCTTCAGTCGTATACAGTGATAATGGAACTAGTTTCAAAGAAGCTGCCAGTGCTTTTGCCTTAATTGATTTTGAGAAAATTTTCTTTGAAACAAGAGAAGAACACATAATTTGGAAGTTTATACCACCTAATGGTTCTTGGTGGGGAGGTTGGTGGGAGAGACTTGCAGGAATGATGAAAAATATTTTAAAGAAATCTCTAGGAAGAGCCATTTTAAGCTACGAAAAAATTATTACAGCTTTATGCAATTGTGAGAATATTTTAAATGAAAGGCATTTAACTACAATATCATCTGATCCAAGTCTTACTCCTCTTACACCAGCAAATTTTCCTCAAGGAAATCAAAATTAGTACTATGCCAAACATTAAAATGAATCCAAATTCAAATAGTTTACGGCGAAGGTTACAATATATTCAAACAGTACGAGAAGCATTTAGAAAAAGATTTCGTCAAGAATATTTGGGATGTACGCATTATGTACAAAACAAAGGCATAAAAAATTCACCCCTCTGAAAGAAGGAGACGTAGTTCTCATTGGAAACGAAGATAAAAGGAGACAACTTTGGCCACTTGGTCGAATAGTTAAAGTACTACCAGGGAGTTGATGGTATTGTTCGTCGTGCTATTGTAAGACTCAAAGTGGAGAACTGGTCCGAGCTGTCCAAAAATTATTTCCTTTAGAACTTTCTTCTCTAGAAACCACACCAGAAATAATACAAAAATGAAGTAAAATATAAAAGAGAAAAGGAGAAACAAGAAACTGCTGGCAAAGTATTAAATGAGGACTATCCTGACCGAGCTAAAACAAAAGCAGAAAGCCCTGTGACAACTAACAGTGGCCGAGTAATTAAAGCACCCATACAACTGTCACTTTGAACTTAATAATAAAATTTTTGTTTTTTAATCTTTTATGGGATTTCAGTACTTTCTATGTGGATAATAGATTACTCGTAGTATTGAAATATTTGTATCTTATGTTCAATACATAGTAAGTATACATTGTAATAATGCTATCTAACCTTGCACTTAGAAAACTTTTAAACTTTTTAATATTAGCAACTATATTTATAAGTTAACTTTCTATATTTTAGTTAACTTAGGTGGGAGTATGTGAAAAATTGTATCTTTCAAATAGTTGTAAACGTAAATTATTATTTTTTTTATATTTTATTTTTATCTTTGAATAATGCGCGCTGAATTTCATTTTTCACGTATTTGTAACTATGCGATATTTTAGTAGTTAGGTTCTGCCAAGAGTAAAATATTGCTAAGTCTGTCCTATTTTTTTTTTTTTTTTTTTAAATTTAAGAGTAATTTATGCTGTGTTTTTAAGATATAAGAAGAAAAGGCATCTTTTTGCGATATTTAAAGATGCACATTTTGAGTTTCAATGTGCTTACGTGTAATAAATGTGTTTTATTGAACAAGTTGGAGTTTTAATGAATCCGAGGCAATTATTTGTCCCGTACGGAGGTTTAACTCAATGTCCTTCAGACCCTACTATATGGACAAGCATGTTATCTGAAGTAGTATTAGTAGTATATATATGTAGTGTGAATTACTTTTATAAGATGACAAGGTCTTATGAAGCTTAAAATAAACTTTTTATTAAAATCTTTAAGTTAGTAGAAAGCACCGCTTGTGGTATTGGATATAACTCCGTTACTGGCGGGTGTTTAAAATATAGCGTAAGATGAAGTTAATTCAAGCAAAGTAGTCGGAAGCTATACAAAGGTGATCTGCTTAAGCTGGCTCAGATAATTAACGGTACGTTTTTACTGTTGTTTACCAAAATGGCTGAAGCGGAAATAAATGTTGCGGGAACTGGCGATAGGAAGTGAACTGTAAGCAAGGCTACCCGAAGCTCTAAAAACATCAAACCTTCAGCTTAAATAATTGAACAACTATTTTGTATTCTGGTGAGGACTAAGGAAAGAAGATGGGTTATAGTAAAATTTCAAATCATAATAATTGGCTAATTAACAAAACTCCTGTACTTTTCTTAATTAAATCATTTATCACACCATTTAATAGTTTTTTTTATGCAGTAGATTTCAATGCAGTAATACTAGTTTAATCAAATTTTATTTAAGAAGTAAAGACGAGAAGAATAGTATTGAAAAAATATCATCCAGTATTTGAAAGGCAATCATTTTGCATTTTTTAAATGCGTTTTTTCCATTATTCTTATATATTTTATGAAAAATACATGTATTTATCCTAATATCTTTATGTTGGCAGCATGAAAAAAAAAAGCATTTCTCTCACCGGGATTCAAACTTCAGATCTCCTTACTGCCAACCAGACGTCTCCCAATTACACCACAAAGGGACGCGATAAGACGGTAGAAAATATACCTTACACTGCATGCAAAAGTAGTGAACCATACTATCTCTTTTCTGAAAAAGTTTCGTACAACAGCTTCTACGTTTCTACAACAATGAAGTTGCAACAGCTGTTCTGTCTGTAATGCATGAAAGAAAAGAAAACTAAACGTTACATGATGCAGTACATTGCATACTCTTCCTTTTTAAAAATATTTCTTCTTCAAAAACGTTATGCCTAGATGTCTCTGCTTTTATCTACTGGAATCGTTCCCATTAATTGTTCGAAAAATCTGCTATCCGAAATGCCTGTTTTCTTATTTATTGGGCTAGATGGGGTTCTACTGAACGGATTGTCTGGTTAGTCACAATATTTAACTATCTCTCAACTGCATTATACCTACGCATTTTATCTACTTTTATACTTTATTCAAAGCGTTAATCTATTTCTCTGAAAGTGAAAAAACACCTTCGCCTGTAAAACTGTTAAGAAAATTTTATTGATTTTTAGCCCAAAGAGCGTTAATCCAAAAGGGTTATAAATTAACCCTTTCTTCATTTTGCGTTCGAAAAATCGCATTTTGCGTTGGTTCGCTATACAAGTCTGAATCACTTTTCAAATTGTTCCCGCCAAATATTAGAACCCTGCATTACATTTAAAGAAATTAAATAATGAAGAATCTGCATGAATGTATGCATGTATGTTTCTCGCATTGTGAAAAAACAACGGGACCTAGAAACATCAAATTTTGAATAACGTAGTCCTCCACTCAAATATAAGCATCTGGAAGCCCAAATTTGGAGTTTGTTTTGTTACCTATTTCATATTTTGTAAAGCTTTAACGAGTTTTTGATTAACAAACTCAATGCTTTTAAAGCGTTCCATCAACATTAACATCGCGCGTATCTTCAAGTACGGATATTTTATGCCCGAGGTTTCTTTACATTTCTTGCTAGTATTGAATGTCTATATTACTTTTCAAATCCCATTTTGAATCTCTCGTGAAAAAATTGCCCCTTTAGGAGTAACATAAAATCTGAAAGCTTCCAAATTTTATGTTTTTTTTTTAAATTATTGTTATTCATAAAAATTTGTTTCTGCAAAAGTATTTCAGTTTTCAATGGTTAAATTAATCGTACGAACAACATTTATATCTGAATTTTTAAATTTCACAGTCATTTAAATATATTTGAATCGTGAAGGAAAAACATAAAAGCATCTAAACTTCAAAAATCTTGATCTTTAAAGCGTGGAAAATGTCAAAAAGAAAACAGATGCATTCTTACAGCGAATTCAATAATAGTTTTCTTTAAAAAAGCTGAAGATAGTCTTAAAAATGAGCCATTTTATCAAAATTAATCCAACTGAACAATTCGGAATATCAAGAACATTTTTATATTCTTTTTCCTTTACTACTGATTGCTTCTGAAAATAAAATCCTCTGTTTTCAGATTCACTAAAGAAAATTACAAACGTAAATAATAGGTAAATTCAAATTTCTCTCTCAAAGATTAAAATAGTTTTTTCAATCCAAATAAATTCTTGTATGAAATACGAAGTAGTAGCTTCCTGAGGAATGTTTACATCAAACACTGGTATTTAAACAAGATTTAATGAAAATTGCCAGTGTCATTTCATCTAATTAGCATAAAAGTAAATAATCCTAGATAATAAGAGAAGAAAGAACTTAAAACATCTCCGCAATTAATGTGCTAAATTAGTTCGCTATGTACATTTGATAATAACTATTCCCAAAAACTTCTTTTTCTCTAAGCTTTTTAAATGAGTGTTTATATATCTACATACTGTTGTTTAAGAAAAGATAAGGAAATAAAAAAGTTTAATTAATGAGGTGTTTCCTGAAAGAATGAAAAGTTGAAAAATTCTATTGCGTTTTTGTGTGAATTCGTAAAGTCAATTTAAATACTTCAACCCAAAAGGGCATAGAAGTTTACTTTAAAGCTCAAATTTTTGCGTTTGAACGAAATCTGTGATTCGATACTTCATTATAAAAGGTGCAACAAAGCTGAATATTGTAACTTCATTCGTTCTCAGTTGGAGGTTATATTTTAATTACGTAATCAATTCATTAAATTAAAGGAGATGAAAAAAATGCCTCAAAAATATATAAGCTTATACTGTCATTTCTTCGCGTATTCTCACCTCTTTTTAACTAATTTTATCATCCGAAAATTGAGAGAGGAGAATTGTACGAGTAATTTAATTTTCAAAGAACGAGCATTCAATCAGAACATAATAAATGTAAATTAGTCATGGATAAACTATTGGTAACTATCCCAATGTTATTTCTTTAGAAGAAAACTACGTTTCGGTAAGAATACATTTTAATATTAACATTATAGTATCTAACGGTAACTGAGCCGGAAACGTAAAGCTCAGGTTTAGTTACCTTATAATGCCCAGCTACACCTTACATGAATGAGTATTGACCGCAATACTAAGAAGAACATCGGAGGACCGAAAAAGAAGGGTTCAAACAAAAAAGAAGGGAAATAAATATATTATTAATTTCAAAAGATCGAACGCATCAGCAGCAGATAAGGCTACAATGAGGTGGAACGTAAATATTAGAATTAAGGTGAAATCACGTGTTTGAAAATTCTGTTAATGTCTGGGTATCTGAACGAAGGGTCTGCACAAAATAAGTTTCAAATAATAAATGCAAGGAAAAATAAAATGGGCTAAATGCAAATATAAATTGAATGTACTGAATGAAAATAAAAATAATCAAGGGAATATAGTTTACCAATATGCACTGTGTGCTACTATACAGAAAGGAGAAAATTATGAACATTTTTTAAAACTTTTAGAACCTAGCGCTAAAACGCTAGAGGGAAAAAATACGTGTGTGGAAATACCGTATATAACCGATGAAATCCGATATTGATTTATAAATAGTGCATCGGGTTGAATACAGCAAACAATTATGAACTGATTGCTGCTCAAATTTCTTGATCCAGCTTATGTAGACTATTTTGTGTGTACGCTCAGGAAACGTTACTTG